TATGACTTCGAGTGCGTGCCGCACTCCAAAAAGGATTCATCAACGGCAAAGACTTCATCCTTTATCCTGACGCTCTTTTTTTCAGAGTTGCGCTTGAGAACTACATTTACCCTGTGTGGACTGGGTATCTCTTGCACTTATCAAATGAGTGGGAAGAGGTTACCTTGAGCTCACATTATACATGAACACGTAGCTCGCACGGAGGCAAACCATAAAATTGGTCATAAAACCATAAAACATGATTTATTCTAGAAATCATATGTCGTTTTTTTCAGAGCTGCATCCCACGCTATGATGCGGCCGCCACATATCGTCGGGCATCACGTCTTTGAAAACCACCAGCCATCAACGGGATAAAAGGATTGAGCTTGCGCCGTTGTTGATTAATCCCGGCACACATCCTACCTCCACTCACAGTCGCAGCGGCTTATCGGATGCTATACGGCCTATAGAATGACTAGCGGGACCGGCCGATGTACAAGCCTGTGTTTTTATCCTCCCAGCCGAATGTGGCACCAATTTCCTTGAAGTTGGAGGGATGGCTGGCAGCGGCGGAGGTCACTGGCGAATTGATATTCAAATCGCGAGCATGGTAGGCGTATCACTTTCCACTACGTCACCTCCGCCTCCGCTCAGTCTTTATGGTGCATTAGAAAATAGGCAGTTTTATGGAGTTAGCAGTATACACTCATCAGACCAATATGAACCAGGGAAAATAGTAGAAACTCTTGGAAAACAAATTGTCTTGAATCATCAGCTTACCTCGAAAATCGACTTCTCCATTCCCGTCTTCGTCAAATATATCAATAACTCTTTGAACAAGTGGATTTTGCTGTAGTTCAGGCAGCGACATGAATTCCTAAGAGGAAATCAATTCGGTGAACATATGTCTGACTATGGGAACGTTGCAATTGAATTGTCAACTAAACGTTGTGAACCGCTAGCAGCCATCCAGCCGCCAAACGAGCAAGAATTGGTTCACGTGGCAAACGATTTTTTTCCAGCGAAATATTTAGGTCAAGATATTCCAAAAGATTTTTGTTTACTGTTCGGCCTGGAGGGGGCAGCACTTTCGGCGCAGTTTGGCGACGGAGAGGGGGGCATTTTGCACTTTCGATACTTCCCATCGACGTGTCGACCCATCTAGACAGCCCCTCTTGAGTTAAAAGGTTTACCATGATGGCTCGACGAGCTTGCTCCAGCTCCACACAGATTTCACCAGGTGGGACTTGTGAACCCGAGTAAACCGAACTGGTGAAGCAACCAAAGTGCGAAATGGCCCCTCGTCGCCGGACTGCGCCGCACTTTCATGAACTTCTTTGGTTAATTCATATTAGCTGACAGGCCTCAGTTTAGCCAAACTTATGAATTTTTGTGAAGCTGTGAATTGGTACCATTGAGTCACAATAATCGCGGAAATTTGCAGGTCTTCACCCCTACAAAGGGAAAAACCTACGAGCTTAGGTGATTACCATTCAGTGCCCCCGCCAAGCCAAACGGATAAGTATGAAGCAACTTACCTCTACTGATAATGATCCTGATCCATCAATATCCAGTTTCTTGAAACGACGTGCAAGCCTTCGAAGCTCATATGCATCGACTGCAAATTAATTTAGTAAGGCGCTGGCGTATGTGGGGAGGGGAGAGGAGAATCGTTCGCCAGTGTCTCCCATCCTTTTCCCTAATCAAGACTTGAGCTGTGTTCATACTCTGAGTCAGCGTTTGAGTCCCTAGGAAAGTATAGGTATCCACCCAGCGTTTTGAACGTCCACCACCATTCTAAGCGTTTCGAGCGTCAGCCTTTGAGAGCATCTGCCAGCGTTTTTTTTGCGCTAGGAGGGTATAGGTATTTAGACCTCAAAAATGCTTTTGGATGCTCAACCGCCTGGATGATAACTATACCAATTTCCTAGTCGTTCAAAATGCCAAAACGCTTGAAACGCTGACGCCAAGTGTGAACGCGTTTTTAGCACCTGGAAACACCCAAGTGGACTGAATGAGAAAATGGCATAGCCTCAAAATGAAAAAAAACTTACAGTTGCTACACATTTCCATCGGTAATGAACTCTCCGCACCCTATAATATTTTCATAAATAAAGGAAGGTAATTTCAACAGTTAAAGAACACCAGGAAGGAATGTGTTGGCTTTGCACATATACACGCTCACAAAGAGGAATACCCGTGACCCTCCCACCTAATTCAAATTCCGATCCAAACGCGAAAACCAAAACAAAGTAATGAAAACAGTGCGTGTGTGTGGAATTACTGGAACCCAGATGGTGGGCGCCTCAATCAAATGACAATAAAACTATTCAATGACACAAGTAGCATAGCTTTTTTTTTCGACAATTATCAGTAACCTCGATGAAAGGCATGATGGAAAGGAAGGCACTTACCATGTTTTGATAAGGAGAAGGTTTCGGACGGCACTAATTCGGAAGAAATTCAACAGGCACGGTCTTGGGAAATGCTGAAAAAGCCAAAATTTCACTGAAAAGTAAATTTTATAAGAAGCGCAACACTTAAAAAGCACGAGACTGGTGCCTTGAGAAAGGAATGAGGACGTTTTCTTCAGCATAGAGAAGCAGAGGATACAACCCAAACAAGCAATCACACAGTCTTTGTATGGTAGCACCGCGTTTATGCTTTGCGACTGACAGTTACAAGATTCGGCAATTCATCCCTAGCGACCGGCGCTGATCATACCCATTCTCTTAGCTGGCCAATCGCCCGAAACGCGCCACCTAAAACGCCGGCTCGCCGATTCTCCCCAATCGCCAGATCACTATCTATATTTCCATCGTCGCCCAATCTCTCGAATCACCGAACAGACCCATGTCGTACGCCGGGGAGTTCCCAGCGGGGGATCGTATTAGTCGCCCCCCCCCTATTGGTGGCGCCGATAAGGTTCCATACAACTACTATTCCCGATAGCTGAAACTAGTAGCTGGCTGCTGACGACCCAGCCCCTCTGTCGACAGCAATATTTTAATACAATAACATCCAAAAAAACATGAAGAAAATAATCGAAAGCAATATAATGCAAAAACGGCAATGGACTGTTCTTGTTACAGAAATATCCATAAAAAAGGAATACGCCAATATTCTGCATGTATAACAGGTTTTCCAAGGGGTTAATTCGCGTTGCTTTATTCCGCTGTGTCTAAAAACTGATCTACCCTGGAGTTTTGACTTGGACCTCTACCTTTCTATGCGGAGTTTGCCGCAGTATTTGCGATACAACCGGCTGCAGGAGTGCTGCCGGTTGTATCGCAAATACTGCGGCCAGTTGTATCGCAAATTCCTGCAGCCAGTTGTATCGCAAATTTTTTGAATAATTTTCCCTATTCCAAACACGAGGTCACTTTGGAGGGCTTTCGATCCTTATCAAACATAGAAATGCATAAGATCTACTACACGATTTATACTTCGCGATCCTATGGTTTGGATCACGCGTCACTCCAATCCAGTCGCTCGAGCGATCCAACCGCGAAATATGAACGAGCTCTAAGGATCTAGAGAGGGAGGATTAGTTTGCTTCAGGGCACATCGCTGTTGGGAAATCCCCAGCAGGGGGGTCATTTGGCCGCCAAAGAGAGGGGGCGGCCAAATACGACCCCACCTGCTGGGAGCGGGTGGCTGGGCTGAGGAAAATTTATTTTGATCGTTGATTTTTTTCGCTTCACGGACGTTATAAAAAAAGGTGGGGGCATTTTTGCTCATTATTGGGAGTAGTCGAGGGATCGTATTTGCTTTCTGAGAGTGGTCGTTGACTTTTCGTGATTTTCCTGTTTCATGCGTAGTATTGTCCCACCCCCCCTCCCCCGCTCGACAGCAAAATTTTTGGGAAAAAGTAGGGAAGTTTTCGGGAAATTTTGGAAAAAGTGGCAGGAAGTTGGGGAAAATCTGAGAAATGGTAGAGGGGGGTCGTAATTGTCTCGCCTTTCCCATGTTCCCGCATGTTCTATTTACACCCCCCCCCTCGAAGCCAAGGTTTTACTAAAGTGAGCCTTGTAAACTAGAACCAGTGAAACAGCAAAAGTGCAAAACGCTCTCTTCCCCCCCCCCTGTCCCGAGCTCCCTGAGCGTAATGAGGACTACCACAACTCCATGAGCTGTTGAACTGAAATGCTCCGGTAAATGGAGTAGCATCGAGATCTTTCAAAAGAATGATGAAGTAAAAAGCTGAAATGAAGGCTACTGAGCAGCACGAAATAGTTTACCAATAGGCTTAAAGCTCGGTGCTGCGCTTTGTCACAGAAAGCATTTTAACAGCAGCAGAGCCGGCGCAATTGTGCAGGCAATCTTGAACCCGTTAATATTGTGAAACGGCCACGGTCTAATAAATCAATTCAGTGTAACCAAATGATGATGAATTTCGACACTGATACGACCAAAATCAAGCATATACGAGTCCAACGTTCCTATTAAGGAAGTTCCGCCAACTTAACCCCAGTTTGATGGAAACTTGGGTAAATTCGATAGCAGTCCACAGGTTATTTAGCAGTATAGATAGAAAAACTGCAACCTGCATTTTTTCAACTTATGAGCAGTAAAGTTGGTAATGGTGCAGTAGGGTGGAGGCCTGGTCGTGAGCTTTGAGGCACAAGGGAGGAATCACATACGTCGAACTGAGTCGTAGCAACGTCGAACCTAAGGCCGCGTTCATACCGTGCGACGTCTTTTGCGTAAGTTGCGTAAGCTGCGACTAGTTCGTGAAGAATACATACGTATCGATCCGACGAAAGCTGCGTAAGTTGCGTAAGTTGCGTAAGCTGCGTAAGTTGCGACTAGTTTGTGAAGAACACATACGTATCGATCCAAAGAAAGCTGCGTAAGTTGCGTAATTGGCGTAGCTTACGCAACTTACGCAGCTTTTTTCGTCAAATCGATATGTATCTAGTCTGCGTGAAGCTGTCGTCGGTTACGCAGCTTACGCAACTTACGCAGCTTACGCAGCTTTCGTTGGAAATCGATACGTATTACTCACGAACCAGCGCAGCTTACGCAACTTACGCAGCTTTCGTAGACGTTGACGACGACGTCGCACGGTATGAACGCGGCCTAACCACTGAACCACTCCGACTCGATTCGACAATGCGATTCCTCGCTTATGCTTCACAGCTCACCACCAAACCTCCACACCCTACTGCACCGTTACAAACTTTACCTGTTCATAAGTTGCTTGTGAAATGCAGGTTGCAGTTTTGCTATCTATATTTGTAAATAACCTTATAGACTCTATCGATCTACCCAGGTCTCCATTCGAAATTCCATGGTAAGTTGGTGGACTCCCCTGGTTAGGCCGACTGCCTATTCAACAGAGAATGGTAGAATATGCGCGAAAACGTAGTTCTAATAAGGATGTGGTTCACTGGGAGAAAAGAGGAGCCAGAAAAGAAGCAGATCAGGAGGATGCATGCCAAAGAAGTAAACGAGGAATGGATCGACTCCTATAATCCGAATCTTCCGATTCGTCAGGACACTCCTCACAATAAGAGGGCGTTCACACTCTGCGACAACGCTTTGTGCTATCGATATCCATGCTTTTGTTGTCGCTGAAAACGCTGCCGTACGCTGGTGTACGCTTAAAACGCAGGATCGATACATGTAGATTCCTAGTCGTTCAAAACACAGTGCTGGCGTGCGCTCGGAACACTGGCGCAAAGTACGAGCGCGATTTTGCTCATTCATTTTTCGTCTTCTTCTGTTGTGTGACTGCTCGAAGTCACTCTTAGGGAACGGATCAAGCCTGGGATGGATGTGGCATGGGCCAAAGAGCACAAGTAGCTTAGGCTCCGCCCACAATGGGCGGTGCGTGCGCAGCGAACGGCGCTAAGGACAAAGACTTTCATAACGCATCCTGAGCAGTTTCCCAGTACCACAAGGTGTGACTGCGTTCATACTCGCGCCAGTGGGAATGGAGAAATCGCAAAAAGGAAAGTGTGCGGCGATCTGACAATCAAGGGGGGGGAGTGGTACATAGGGCACTTGAAGCAGGGGAAACAGAGAAAACCGATAACATGGAAAATCAACTTCCGAAAACAGCTTCTCGAAAGCAAGTACGACCCCACCCCTCTCACTAGAGATCCCCTGTACGACATGCCCTGCTATATACATCCCCTTTCCCAGAAACAAAATTGTTAAGGAGGTGGAAGAATGTGGTGATGGGTAGGGGGGAGGGGTAAAGCGAGAGGAAACTTAGGGGGGGGGGTGTTTTACGATTATCTATTGTAATAATCACCCTCCTTGTTGCTGTACACTTTCCTCAGAAGGCTTCGGATTAGAGCGTAGCTGATGAGAGTCGTGGAAGGATAATCCCCAGACAAGGCATAATCTCTATTAAGCCATCACTGATTAGGAGAGGGGGTTACAGAGGTGCTGCCGAGTGGTTCCCTGCCTCCCCCCTCCAACTAGGTTAACGTCATTTAATACATCCCGGACTGCATGACACCCATGGTGTGTCACACATTTATCTCGATGCGATGTTTTACTTAATCAGTTTGGCTTTTCTTCCAGGTTCTAATACTGCCGAAACATGTCCTCTGTTGCGCAAGATAGACACCTGGAGAGCATTACTGATGAATTATTGATAAAAAAATAATGAAATCATCTGGAGGTGGGCACAGTATGGCGGTCCGCAATGTGTTACACAAGTTGAACTAAGTCCAGAATGTCTCCAAAATCATATGTCATCGGTAAAAGAGAAAAGAAATTAAACTGAACGGCCGTGAGATCGAATCCGAGAAAAACAAACAATATGGCTCAGCTGTACGAACCCAAACAATCAATACCAAACAGCCCTTTTCAGGGACTCCTGAGAATTCCTCGTAAAGGATAGGCCCTTCCAGTGGGTACAAATGAATCCAAGGAGGGGAAAGTCACCCAAGAGCTGGTCTAGCTCAGGAGCAGGAGAGCACTAATAAGCAAGCGGGCCGAGGCGGTCGATGAGCGACCGCCGCTGGCCGTAATGGCGCGAATCGATACGTGAGCGCTTTGTCGTAAGCCGGGTGGTGCGTCGGTGGATTGGGGGCAAATTGTGGCTTCTGGAAGTCGATAAGAAGAAGCTCCTCAGAGGATGAGCAGATAAGCACTGCAGTTGAAGCTCGAAGTGGGAATTAATCACATAAAATTAGAGGTTTTAAGAAAGTCTCCATTACGTTGAAGCAATCTCAACCTCATGGCGAAAAAATGCCGGTGCTAACGTATTTGGGGGGGGGGGGCAACGCGATAAGGCTGTACTATGGAATGTTGGCCAGAGCCATAACATCCACAACCTCGCTAGAATCTAGGTCATCGCGCGGCGGACGCTAGGCTTTAGCCACCGTCCACGTATTTGCACTGGGGCGCAGATAGTTGACCTACTCAGCGAGGCTTCTCTATGGATTTTTCGGATGCTCGTTAGAATTTTAATTGCGATTCCAGAGGGGACGGACAGGGTCACCATAATATGTCGCGTCACAGCGCGCGGCGTCGTGCGGCGAAGCGCGGCAAATGCTAAATGCGAAGCATTTAGTCGATCGGAACAGCGAACTTCGTATGAATTCAAGCGGAGACAAGAATCGATGACAAGGCTATTGCCCCCCCCCCTCCATTTTGATACTATTATCCAAGCTGGCCAACAGGACAGACGTGATGTGTCGCACTGGCGGGTGCGGCGCGTTCGCCACGCCCGCCAGTGCGGCACATCACGATTGTTTTGTCACATACCTCTGTTGCAGTAAGGGGCACGAACCCACTCCCCCATGCGAGACTTTTCAGTCTACCAGTCCTTTTCCGCACTACTTGGCTAGTGAATTGTGATTTGACGTTTCACCGCTATCTAGTCTTGTTCGGCGGATGCTGGTCATGTCAGGGGGGGGGGTTGACAGGGCAACAGCTTGTTTCCCACCAGTTTGTTGAAGAGGGTAAGCGACAAGATGAGGAGAATCGGAGAAGGCGCAAAGTGGGAAAATGCGCTTCCCTAACATAATGAAGCAACTTCAAGACGAAAAAATCCTGGTGCTGACGTAATTCTGGGATGAGGGGGGACCATGCTGTCAGCCTTTCTTCGGCTGTCTGATACGCTTTATTTTCACACGTTACATCTTAGGTCAGCGTGTGAGAATTCTAGCGTATGCAGCTGATATCGCCGCAATCAGTCCGCGGTGCTAGGAGGGGCGGAATGAGCCACTCTGCTCCACTTCCTGCAAGTAATGATCGGCTAGCGATCGATTCAGAAAAAAGCAACCAGTGATGGAAACGCAGGAGAGGCTCATTCCATGCCTCGCAACGACTCATTGCAATGATATGCTTTATGAGCGGCTTCATCTATCTATCCGGAAATTCAGCATTACCTGAAGGCCCAGTCTGAGGTAACGGGTCAAGTATGATGGATAGGGCATGGGCCAAGACGTACGGAAAACACACGAGGCTGCGAGGGGGCTGCCCTCAACAATCATCTATCAATTTCAAAAATTTTTATTTGGTTCTAAAGGAGAGCGGAAAAAGCGGGACACGATAGGACTGGGAATGGGTAGGTGAACACGGTGGGCGGGGCGCGCCTCAAATGGGCGGCGCTTGTCAAAATTTCTATAAATCATTTTCGGAAAAGCTGGAGAGCTGGGTAGGGAGAAGAAATTGGTAGGCGGGCGAAAAGAGGACATATGCTGTGCGAGGTGCTAAAATCAAATGTTCGCATTCCCATGGGGTGCGACCACTCACAATGCAGATAATTTTGAAAAAAAACGTCCTACAGGTGAAATGGGAGCGCAATCAAACTGGCTCACTCTCGAAAATACCTCGGGGAACTGCACACGAATAAGAGGATGACTGGTGTGAGCAAATACCGAATACCGGGCCCGAAAGCTCCTAAACTGGGAACTAAACTATCTCACTGAACACTCCTCCACTCCCATTGAAATTAAAATAAATCTTTTTATTCTACTGGTCATGAAATAATCACTGAAAATGCCATCAGACTCATATTATAACCTACACTGAAAAAGTGTCACTACAATTATTGACGTGAACGATTACAAAGCAATCCAACGACACAAAGCCAATTCGCTCTGTTCCCGAAAACACTGGGTTCTTGGAGCTCTATTGCCAGATTCTTACTTCACTTATAGACTTAACAAATTGTGAACCAATAACAGCGGTTTATCATGTCGATTGTGAGCAACAATTTTCTTCTAGAAATGATTTATTGCGATCGATCCACCATAGCAAAATTCACACCACAAAAACGGAACGGATTGGCGGCAGCATAGGTCGCTCTCTTTGCCATCAGCTGACTAGTTTCAAGTATGTCGTCAACGACGTTTCAGAAGGAAAGACTTCTAGTTGTGGAATTCTCCGGATGGAGAATTTGCGGGCACAAAGAGTGTGCAAAATCAAGCGAAAGTAGAACATCTCAAGTCTCTCCCTCCCATATGGGGGCTTGTAAGAACAACATGTAACAAAAATCTGACACTGGAACAAACTTACTGAAGATTACACAAATAATAGCACAAATCTTTGGTGTTCAAGGTCAATATTGTTACAATAAGGAACAGAAGAGCCTACTCCCGTCCCGCAAAATCATACAGAATCATATGTTTTCCATTCAGTAATGGATTTTACCCGAAACAAGCTGAAATTCTCGCTTGAACCCGCTCACATCGGTCCCCATAGATTCTCATATCGATGCTATATCTCATCAACAAACAAGTCAAAAGCACTGCTATAATTTCTGACCCGAAACTGGTAATCTTCATGGTTAGGAGGCGGTTGGATTTGTATTAATGAACTTCCCGTCGTGGATCGATCTGAAAACAGAATTTGATATAAACTCAGCAGAAAACATCCTAGTATGTAGGATGTTCTATACTTTTCGGTTCTTACATAAAGTAGCTCAACAGTAAAGCGACCGAAAGAAGTTCATATTCCTTATACTCTAGTTCGCTGCGGATGAAGGGGCGTGTCACACACTATGAGTAAGCCACGGTGCCAAACCCGTTTTCTTCCCCTGAGGTTAAAGCGGGTATGCGACAACAATTTTACGAAGAATTAGCGCACTGGTAACTCTAATTCCCTCTTAAGTATCAGCTGAAGGGGGGGGGATCCTATATCCGGCTAGCTTCTAATATTACTTACTACAAAATGCGTTGATCTTTAAAAGATCATTGTTGATGGTTCAAACCTACCTGCTATGCTCTCGACAACAAGATTGGAGGAGTTGATGCGATAGCTTCGATTGGAGCCTGCACCTGAAGCCGTGATCCGTTAGTGCAGCGTGTTTGAAAAGTGTATTCAAACATGAGAACACTTTCTGCTTCCATAGGACCCATTCTTTCCATTTCAGCCGCTTTCCTCCGACCCCTCCAAAAAAATAATAACCCCTTCCGTGTGTCCCCACAGTGCTACGCTTATAAGAATAGGATTTCTTAACAAAAAGTGTTCCGTCAACTCCAACTAGCGTTTTTACCTGTCTTGCATGGGAAACGGACAAGACAATCTGTCTCCCATGCAAAACAATGCCCATGTAAATTCTCGCGACGACGCGCGGTTCACTGTGCGACGGTACGTGGATGATCCCTCGGTGCTCATAAATTGTCGGTTAGAGCAGCCAAACTTATTCAAGCTAATAAAAGACTCCATGGCGGCGGTATTTAGTTCTCTCATATCTTTGACAATCATATTCAAACGGCCTGGCACAACTCGTCAGCTGCGGCGTCACTCGCCACATCACCTGCGCGACACATTACGATTGTGCTTTCGCATACCCCTGGCGGCAAGAGGGAGATGTGATAACAAGAATCGTTTTATCAACCTGGCAAGCTAGCGTTTTTTATGTTTTGCATAGCCTAAACAACCGCATTATTCTACATTTCCTTACCACTCTTCACTTCTTCTATTCGTCGCCTTCGTGATGTCCTTGATGTTTCTTCGTCATCTTCCTCAAAGACTGGAACGGAATCATCTCTGACTGAGGTGTATAGCCCATGTTCAACCTGCTAAAAGGTATAAGAAGGTCAATATTATGAATCCGCACTCCATAGGACGCAAGAGCTTGAAATTCACAACAAAAAAACAACCGGTATTACCGGATATCGGCTAGGATCCACGACTGCCCTGTAGACCCTGGCTCGACTCTCAGATTTGTTCGCAAAAACGGCAGTAATAGGACCACATGAGCTCGATAATCGAAGCACATAACGTGATTCAGTGACGCCTCCGAACTGTAAATGTTTTATTATACAGAGAAATACCGCACAACAAGAAAGGTCGTGAAAAATCAAAGCATTGAGGAAATATTAAGCTCGGCGCCATTCACCATTTATTGCCCCACTCTTCAAGATTCGGGCCATGTTTCGACTGAAACTCTTCTTTTCATTGAATCTTTATTATATGACTACGTTTCGGGCATAAGCCCTTCTTCAGGTCACTCGATCTTAAATCAAACAGCATATACCCTTACAATGTAGCCCTTGCGTCTGGAGTTCTACACTTCGGACGATATATCGACGACATTTTCATTGTCGGAAGATCACGGACTGCATTACGACGACATTTGGAAAGCTGAATGGAATGTGCCAGTCAATAAAATTGACAGCCGAAAGCCCTCCCCGGACGGTTTCCTCCCATTTCTGAATACCAAAGTCAAGATTTCGGAAGGTCAGATCAGCACCATGTGGTATAAGAAGTTGGCATCCCAGAACATCCTCATTCACGCGAGAAGTTGCCATCCTCTTTACATGAAAGTGAACGTAGTCCGCCATATGGTTACGACATCACATGAGCTGACCTCCACGAATCACGAACAAATGGAGACAGAAGTGAAGAACATCTTGCGGCAAAACGGATATAGAAATCGGCAGCTTCGATGCTGGAGGCCTTACCGATCACCTTATGGCACTCCACTCGTGTTACCTTTCATCAGCGACTCGTTCGCTGTTGATGTTAATCGCGTCGTAAAACGATCAAGGCTCCCCATAAGCCTGGTATTTCGACCACCTCCTAATTTACGACGACTTTTAACATCATCGCGTCCATATGAGAGTCGATGTGAAAGAGCTGTGTGATTTGTGGAGAACATAAGGTGTGTCAAGAAAAGTGTGTGGTGTACAAAATAGTGTGCCTTTCATGTCACGAGTTTTACATTGGAGAAACATCGAGGCCACTTCACAAGAGAATGGAGGAACACTTAAGAGCTTTGCGGAGCCCACAAAGCTACCCGGAGAACCCTTCTCGAGACACCGCACACTAAGGCCCGCTCAAGAAGCGCCGGAACTTCGCATCTCCATCGTACACAGAAATGTGGTAGATCCAGTTGAAAGAAAGATCAGGGAGGCACTGGAAATAAAGCAGCAAGAACCACCCATCAACAGCAAGGAGGAGATGAAAGTGGCAATGAGATTGTTATCAATATCAGACGTGCAGAATAAAGACTACGTGACTTATTCGAGATGACCCTTGTCCCGCACCCTTACAAATGATCCCAATCCAACTTTATTTCTGCCAATACTGCTACGTAGTGAGGCCTGAAGGATTTGTACTCCTTTCCCCTTCTACATAGTGTGGGTTGTTGCTATGTTCATTTTATTGATGCTGTAACATTGTAAGGGTATATGCTGTTTGATTTAAGATCGAGTGACCTGAAGAAGGCCCGAAACGTAGTCATATAATAAAGATTCATTGAAGGGAAGAGCTTCGCCGTTATACTCACTACAACAAGACTGAACACAATGAAGCTCAGGAAAGCCCAGGGAACGCTAAGATAGTGCAACAATCGTGTTCAGGGAGGGGAAAATGCCTGCAGTTGTCATATTTTCACAGATTTTGATTTCGAAGTATTTCGGAGCCGACGCTGGGCGGTTTTTAGCAAACGGAACGCGATCTGCTCTCACTTAGGGGATCAAACTGCAAGCTCGTGCCAAGACTTCTCACGGGAAAAAAATTTCGATCAAATCGGGGCTGAAATTTCGAGGAGTGGGACAGCAAAGTTTATATAGGGCCCAAAGGAACATAAAATTTTTAAACATATACGACAAACAAAACGTACCCTTGGCGGTATCACTTCCACGTTTGTTCCAGGAGGCGCCTGCACGGCGAACGTGTTGGAGAAAGGAAACGCTTTCTGAAGGTCTGCCTGGGTTATGTATGCACATCGTTGGTTTTTTGACGATTCACACACGTTCCGCATACTCTGCAAATACTGTGGAACTGAATATCTTTTTTTTCCAGGGAATAACGATTTAGCATTAATTAAAGAGAATTCTAAGTGAAACTTAAGGATGAAATATCAGAAAATTATGATTGTATTTCATTTAGAGCTGCGGCGCTTCGAAAGGATATCCCATTGGGACCGAATTAGTGACGATACGGCTGTTGGGTCGAGTATCGATGCCCTATCTTTGCCTCCCCCCTCCCCTCCGTTCAAACGGCAAAATTGAGGAAAAAGTGAAAATCCCTAACCCCGGAAGAAGTGGCAGGAGGTTGGGGGAACGTAGGAAGATGGAAGATGGTAGGCAGCCTGGAGATGGGGGCCATAAAATGTAAAGTACCCCAGACAAACATTCAATTTTTGAAAATTCGATCCTTCCGAATTTCTCTCCTCTGGTACTATCATCCCCTCCCCCTCCCGCTACCTACATCTTTCTAAGTTTTCCCTAGTTCCCACCACTCTTTCTGGAATCAGCAAGAAGGAAAAATTTCCCAGTTTCCCCCAAAACTTCGTCGTGCGAGCGGGGAAGAGGGAGGGGGCCGAGGGAGTCCGTTACTAAACTGCTGAATTCAGTCATGCAAAATAGGGTAATCCTGCGGCGCCGCTCACGTTCTTAGGGCGTCTGGCAACGGACGGTCTCTCGCCCCGAAGTCCAGAGGCACTTTGTAGGATCTATCTTCTGACCGAGCCCTTGACGGGAGATAAGCAAGAAAGAGGGAAAGAAAGAGGAAAGGAAGAAAATAAAGGAGTAAGGAAAGGAAGAAGGAGGCTTCGCGGTTGACAGATATTCTAAGATGCGCTACATACGAAGGCGGGGGAGGGGTAGAACCATGAACAGTCAATCACGAGAAAAAAATTCTTAATCCAGTTACGACCCCCTCCTCTGAGAGGGGCAAATACAACCCTTCTGAAAATGGGAGTTCCCCAACGCTGTGCATAGCGCGCATGAA